AAGGAAGAAACGTCTACTGGTGTATGAATGGATAAATAAGATGTAGTACAGACACGCCACAGAATACTAATTAGCTCCCGAAATTCTGACACAGAGATGAACCTTGAACACATTATACAGAGTGAAGTAAGGCCAGTGACAAAAAGACAACTTCTGTCACCTTCATAGAAACAGAAAAATAGAATGGCGGCTGCCAGGGGCTGAGCAGAGGAAGCTGTTGAAGGGGCAGTTGGTATTTAGTGGGTAGAGTTTCATTTTTGAGATCATGAAAAACTTTTGCAGGTGGATGGTGGCAATGGTTACCTGGCAATGGGAATGCGTTGCTGGCCACTCTCAGCTGTAAAGTAGCAAATTTTATACAAATATATATTTTATAACCTCTACAACAACTGCAACAACAACAAAACTGGGTGTGGTGGCAGACGCCTGTAATCCCAGCACTTTGGAGGCTGAGGAAGAGGGACTGACTGAGAGTTTGAGGTATGGACGACATAGTGAGTTCAAGGCCAGTCTGGACTACATAGTGAGACCCTGTCTCAAAAAAACAAAACAACAAAACAGGAATTTAGGAAAGATAACTCTATGATAACATTTTTTAAAAATCCTATGGCAACATAGATATAACAAAATCTAGCCAGGTGTGGTGGCACACACATGTAATCTCAGCACTTTGGGAGGCTGAGGCAGGAGGATGTAAAATTCCAGTCCAGCCTAGCTAACCTGATGAGACATTATTCTTTGAAAATAAAAAAACAAAGAGCTGGGGATGGAGCACAGTGTGAAGGCCTTGGGTTCAATCATCAGTACTTTCTTTCCATCACAATACTTTTTTGTCCTTTTTGCATCCTGACTTGCACCTGCAGGGCTGGTGAGGGCTCTGGTCTCCTCCAGGAGAAGGTGAGGCCTGAAAGCCTGGGAGAGCTGGTACAGCTTGGCCCCAGGAGAACAGAATGGTGGCAAATCAGAGAAGCCTCCAACTTGGTTCTGGAGGGAATAGGGGAAGAGCTAAGGGGTTGTTGATGGTCTCTAGAGACAGGTTCTATTGCTGTGTTAGAGGCTGACCACTTGTCTTTATTTGGCAAAGGGCCCCAAGGAGTTAGGAAATTTAAGGTTATACAGCTAGTCTGTAAGGTTGGAACACGGGTCTGTTTTTAAAGTTTATGACTCCTTTAGGGCTGGGGTGTAGAGCAGAGATGGTGCTGAGTTCAATCCCCAGCATGGAAAAGTTTATAACCTTTAATCAGAACCACCGCCCTCTCGTGCTGCCCACCACAGGGCCCTGGCACAGGTGGAAGGGGCTGCTGGCGCTGCTCTTTTCTAAGGGGCAGCAGCTGTGGGCCACTGTGAACAGGCAGGCAGTTGGGGACAGGCAAAGCATTTCTGTAGCATTGCAGCTTCTCTCCTTCCACCCAGGGTTGCTTCACAGAGGATCTCTGCATCTTTCTTCCTCTTCCTCCTCTTTCTTTTTTAATGACTTGGACTCCCAACACTAGAATTTAATTGAAATTACTTGCCTAGGGCAGGGGATTTAGCTCAGTGGTTCTGGTGCCTACCTTGCAAGTGCAAAGACCCGAATTTGATCCCTGGCACGAAAAAAAAAAAAAAAAAGAAAGAAATTAAATTAACTAAATTAATTGCCTAGGGTCCAGATCTTGAAACACCACAGTCCACGCTATGGTCTATCCTTGCTGGGTTTTGGTGACTGTTTGCAAGTCTCAGAGCAGAGCACTTAATGATATACAAATCCCTCTGTGGCTAATAAACATGATTTTTCCTGGCATAATGGGGCTGGCTTTTATGCTAAAAGGCAGTTCCTCTGGGAAGAAAAATGAAGGAATCACAGAACTCCAGCTTGCCACAATAATTTTGGAAGCTTTTTTCCTCTAATACTGGGGATCAAACCTAGGAATGCTTGATCATTGAGCTACATCCCAGTCCTTTTTATTTTGTGAGACAGGGTCTGGCTAAGTTGCCAGGGCTGTGTTGAGGCCTGGCTTTTGTTTTGGTTGAACTTTAACCATAAGGACTGAAAAGTTCAGGTTACCAGTCCTTAGTTCACAGAGAGTGTCACCAGGGTGCTATAAACCAAGTCTCACGTCAATTAAATCAAGGCGGGGCTGGGGATTTAGCTCAGTGGTGCCACCGCCTGACTCACAAGGGCAAGATCCAGAGTTCAATCCCTGGTAGAGAAAAAAAAAAAAAAAAAAATCAAGACGCCCTCTGTACACAATCTCCAGAGTTCAATCAGAGAAGCACAGCAGACCCCCAAAAGCTCAGATAAGCAACATAGGATCACTCACCTGCTGAGATGTACAGGCTGAGCTTTCATCTGTCTTCTGGTGCTTTGGGGATGTAGTCTTTGCCAGGAACCATGTCTGGCAAGGGGCTTTTCAAATGCCCCTTTCTGGATGTAGTAAGAATCATAGCCCAAGGCTGGGCATGGTGGCTCACACCTGTAATCCCAGCACTCAGGAGGCTGAGGCAGGAGGATCACTGTGAGTTCAAGACCAGCCTGGGCTACATAGTGAGTTCCAGGTCAGTCTCAACTACATAGTGAGACCCTGTCTCAAAAAACCAACCAAACAACAACAAAATCATAGCCTGGACCCTGCATTGCCCCAGACTTCTCCTGTGTAACACCAAATCCTCTGGCAATTCATGACTATTCATCTAGGCCTTTGGCAAAAGTCATATCCTATTTATTTAGTGCTAGATATACAGGGGTATTTTGAATGACCAAGAAATGTCCCTGGATAAATGAATAGTAATGGGCAAGATATATACAAAATTACTATAAACCCAATGTGATGGCATTAATTCCAGCTACTCAGAAGACTGAGGCAGGAGGACAACAAATTTGAGGCCAGCTTTGGTAGCTTAGAGAGTGTCTATATCAGAATAAAATTTTAAAAATGGACTGGGGAAACAGCTTAGTGGTACAGAGCTTGTCTAGCATGTGAAAGCCCTGAGTACAATCTCTGATACTGAAAAAAAAATTAGCCAGGGACAGGACTGCTTTGTAATTGTTTTATTTCTCATGGCAACTCTAGAAGGTAGAGCCCATTTTACAGATGAGAAAACTGAGGCTAAGCCTACATTTGTTTGGTTTTTTGAGACAGGGTTTCACTTAAGCAGCCCAGGTTGGCCTTGAGCTGGAGGTGATCCTTCTGCCTCAGTGTTCTAAGCACTGAGAAAGCTTCCACTTATTTTTTTGGTACTGGGGATCCAACTCAAGACCTTCCACTTGCACGGCAGGAGGCAGCATCACTGAGCTAAATCCCCAGCCCTACAGTGATGAGGTGCCCTGGCTCAGCCTGGGGAGTGAGCTGATGCTTGAGCCAGTCCTTGAAGCAAGAATTGGCCAACTGGCTAAGAGCAGAGAGGAGTTTGTGGGTATCAGTAACAGCACACAGGTTTTGGAGTGAGGACGGTAGCCATGTGGAAATAGACCAAGGTGGCCATGGTTGTGGATCTGAGGTGGAATGCGGCAGATTGGAGGCAGAGTCAAGCCCCAGAAGGACCTTGGATTTAGACTAGGTCCTGACGGCAATGGGAAAGCCATGGAGCTTTAACAGCAAGTTCACATTAGCTTTTCTTCTCAACAGCGATTCTGATGTAATAAGGAGATTGCTATGTTGAAGGCAATGGCAAATCAGACCTGGAGTTGGGTGCCTTGGGTTTGGATCCCAGTGCTTCCACTTATGAATTATACAAGTTTTCTCACATCTTTGCACCTCAGTTATTTTGCTGGCAAATGAGGTATGAAATATTTACCTTACAGAGTTGTTTGGGGGCTGGGTTAATCTAAGCAAAAGGTTTAGCAGGGTTGTATGGGGGCACACAGTAGTTGCTCAATAAATATCAGCTGCTGTGTGCAGTCGGGGAAGTGTTGAGCAGGGCTATGCTCCTGGATGAAAGGAGAGAGCTGCACCTTTTTGGCTCTGCTCTCCACAAGCTCCCTCCCTTATTGCCTGAGGTCATAATCATATCAGGAACTTCCACATTATTCTGCCAGAGGTCAAGTTAGAAAATGAAACTAACCCTGGAAAAGAATAACAATTAAGCAATTATCAGTCTATTATCACCCTAGTGTAAATGAGGAGTCAAAGCTTTGGCTGGGAACAGGTTTTGATTAGGATAAAGAAGCCTGAAACCTCTGAACAAGAAATAAG